ATAAAAGTCGGGGAATTTCAAGAAGATTCCCAAAGATGTTTCCCTCCCTCCAGGCAAATGATCGACTTTGCTTTTGCTAGTAGAGAATGGAGCTGTTAAAACAATGATCGACTTATACCTGCATAAAACAATGTCTCTTGAAATAGTGTTTATTTTCAACAACTTGCACAATTCCAAATTGATTCATAGGTCAACGCGATCACATATTTTATTGACGTATCTGTTGATCATTATAATTAGAAGCAGCAAATAAAATGAAAAGCATAGTGATAAAGATGACTATTAATACCATAGACCGATAGACGCATCCCTCTTCGCTACTTTCTGTTGGCAACTACGGAAAAATAGAAACCTCTGGGCCTTCGAGAGACTATTGGCGTCGGCAACCCAGTTAGCCTACCAAATCCGGCAAATGCGAGTGCAGATTGATCAATCTTCCAGGAGGATTGGGCAGGTTCTCGGGGAGGCTACAGAGCGGGTGGAAAGGGGAAATAGAATAGGGTTTGGGATTTTCACAAAAAGGCTACAATTTCCCCTTTATTAGTTGTTCTGGGCGTCGCCCACCAAAGTGAAAACGCGTCTCCGAGTGCCCAGGTGCCTAGATCAATCGCCCAGAGCTAGACTGGGCGATTTCCTCCTGCCCAGCTATTAATCGCGCCTAGGCGAGAGATTAATCGTGTCTTCTTGAACACTGAATAAAAGTGGACCAAACAAAGACATTACATCCAACTCATTTCAGTTCCATCTTAACACAGTATCGGAGGCATGTACTATTATTATACAAATTATCTTACGCTCTCAATTAGGAACTAAACGAAGGTTAAATGCTTGATTGGCAAACTAAATCGATGAACCCAGTGATCTTAAAGAAAAAAATTAATGATCACATGATTTCTTGGACCAAACTACTAAAGGAAAAAAAGAAAAAAGAGACCGTACATTAGCATAAGAACTCAACAAATTACTTATAAGAACTAATGACATAAGGAAAATGTAAACTCAAACCGTTCTTCCGAAGGTCATGGATTAAATCATTAGTTGTCGATTACATAGCCTAAACTGCAAGTTATATCCAACATAGAGGCAATTTAGAAACAAAAAAGTTAGATAAGAAAGCCGTGAAACACAGAAAAATTGAGTGAACAAAGTGGGAAGTATTGCTTTCAATTAAGCTTGATTATGTTGACATAAAGCAGGCACACATTGACGTTGGAAACCTAAACAAAAAGCTTAAAAAGTGGCAAGAGAATTCTTCCCATGAGGTTCAAATATAGCCTACCTATATGAGTAGAGCCAAGTAATTACCATGATTCCATTTTACACATACCATCTCACAACCAACTGCTGCTAATGCTCTGGTCCATTCCAAACCTCACCTGCTCATATCTCCAATACCATATCACGAAACCAAGAATTATACACAACTAAAAGATCCAATAAGGAGAGTAACTTAGCATGGAACTTTGTGATGGGGGCAAATTCTATGGTCAGTATTAAGCTGTGCAAATTATATCACCTCTGCAAAGCTCACTACTTCCAGTAGTTTCTCACAGAACCAGCTACCGTCCTAATCCCTTCCTTCCTTCCCAGGGTCAGAGTGTGAAAAATGGCGTCCATCTCCGCCAAAACCACAGCTTCTTCCTTCATCCATGCATCTCTCCGTCGCAACCCCTCTCTAGGGGTTTCCTCCGCTCCAGTTCTCGGTGAGTACTCTTGACGCCCCCTCCCCTGAAATTCACAATTACCTCTGGCTTTTATTAATTCAGCTTGGGGGAACCAAGAAATTGAATCGATTGGGTGATATGCAGGGCTGCCGTCGATGGCGAAGAGAGGGAGAGTGGTGAAGTGCTCGGCGGAAGGAAACGGAAAAAACGGCAGCGGGTGGAAGAAGAAGGGGATGATGAGCGCTTCGCTGATGGCGGCGGTGGCCGCAGCAGCTGCGTCGAGCCCAACGGCGATGGCTCCTCAACGGATGCGAGTAGCTGGAGCGATTTGTAGCGACCTTCTAGAGGCGGAAGCAGAGAAGAAAGAAGAAGCAGGGTTCGTGGCGGCGGGGGAGACGGTGGTGGCGGCGACAGTAGTTGTGCTTCTCGCCGGAAGGGAAAGCCTCGATCGTCGACAACCTCTTCGCCACGGAGATAGTTTGCTGCACTCCCAAACGCGATCTCCTCAGTCGCAGCAGAAGCGGGCCGTCACTGCTTTCCGCCACTGACCAACAAAACGTCTGGTCGTCTTCCCATGAACTCAGCAACAGCCGGCCGTCAGCGCCTTCCTCCGCTGAACACGAAACCGTGACTCCCTCTTACCAGAATTTTCCGATGGAAACTGATTCTCCTCCTGTCCTGCGGGTAGGCGAAAGAATAACGTGGGAACCCAGTAGAAAAGGTGGTATTTCAGCCAAACGAAAATTAAATGAAAAATAAATAATAACTAAATGATAACGTGGGAAACCAGGAGAAAAAGGTGGGTAGTGGACGATTCCTAGTTCTGCAATCTGGCGGGGAGTTATATTTTTTTCCCGCTCAACACCCTGCCACATCAGATTCCTAAAATCACTCTATGGACAGGAAAATTTGAATGGGGATGGCGGTTTTACTTTTCAGCTATAAATTATACTGTTGAATTACATTTTTGTGGTTATTTTGAAAACATTAATATTTAATTGGAGTTTGTATTTTAGAACTTAAGTACTCATGTTTATAAGTTTGTTTAAGGGTTATGTATTCTATTTTGAACTTATGATTTTATATAGGGCTTGCAATATGGGTACGGTTTTCTAGGTAAATTATAATCGAACCGCCACCTCTTATGGAAAAAAATCCCAAAGTACACTAGTTCTTAAAAAAAAATTCAAAATAATAAGTTATAATTTTTTTATCCAAAAGTACACATGTTTCACATTCACCGTTTTTGACAAACGCAATGATATTGTTCACCGTTTGAGACCAACGCGGTGATATTGTTCACCGTTTGAGACAAAGGCGGTGAATGCTGGCCGATTTTCCTATAAATACCACTCCCACCAGCAGTTTTAAAAACGTAACCCTCTCCCTCTTCAAATTTTAGCAACCAAAACCACCGTAACCTAGGGCGGTGAAGATGTTCACCGCCTTGCCCTAAATCGGTGACGTATTCACCGTTTTCAATTAACACGGTGATGTCTTCACCGTTTTGGTTAAACGCGGTGAATACTTCACCGCTTTAGTTAAAGACGGTGAACACGTCATCGTTTTAATGTAAAACGGTGAAATGTTCACCGTGTTTGTCTAACGCGGTGATTGTATTCACTGCGTTTATAAAAACGGTGAATGGGAAACATGTGTACTTTTGGAAAAAAATTTATAACTTATGTATTTTGGGAATTTTTTTTAAGAACTAGTGTACTTTGGGATTTTTTTCCCCACCTCTTATGAGGGTCCTTAAATGGAAACGATTAACCCTCAATCAAACTGACCTCACTCAACCTTCAAGGTTCAACCCTTAAGTTATTAACCCAACTCTGAGCCCAATAAGGCATTAACCTAATTCCAAGTCCGACCTAAGTTCCCAAAACCCCTGCATGTAAGTGCCAATTTCGAATTGACGAATACCCTTGCTCCAATTTGGAAAAGGCAATTCTCACGTTCATTCTATGGTTCATTGTGAAAAACTTAAGTCAAGAGATTGCTCGTTGTTGCTGCATCCACTTGGTCTTCCAACTACATCGACGTCTCCATCTGAGAATGATTGAGGAATCAAGAAGATGTGAAACTATCCTTAAAGTCTAACTACTACTTAGTTTATTTCGCTATTTCATTTTCAACTCATGAAATACATTATATGTATTATTTATTTTTTTGTGTTGTAGGATGGTAATTTGGACTTGTTTAATTTTTTGTGGTGTTGAAATGGTAATTTGGATGGTTCATTTAGGATGTTTTAATGTTTTTTAGGGTCTTAAATGTTGCTTATCATTAGATAATGCAAGTTTTACTAGATAACTGTGGGTAGCCGTTAACCGCATTATGAAGTTTCTAGGTAACTGCTGTACATGGGCAACGGGTCGGGCCGCTCACGGGCAAGCACGACATGGCATGGTTAGCAACGGTACGAGCACGGGCACGAAATATATGGGTCGGCCCGACACGAGCACGAAAAATTTATGGGCTGTGTCGGGTCTAAACTTTATGGGCACGGGCATGGGCACGAGCACGGGCACGACACGATATGTAAATGGGTCGTGCCGGACCTAATGTTTTCGAGACCCTATTGAGTATAAGAACGAACATGGCATGAAACGAATATTTATTTGATAGAGAATAAATATAAAAAGGATTATAGGTGTAAATCTTAAAAAATACAAGTACAATAAAAATTATTTATTGTCGTTAGAAGTGATCATAAATATATATATATATATACACGTAATTACTACCATAAGTAAAAATAGACGAAGTATTAAACAAAGTCAGATCACACCCGATATACTTTCAATTTTCTTTTCCCCCTTATTTGTTACATTTCTTACATTCTCGGTTAATACTTTCATTCTCCGACCAATTTATTCCTTCTTTTTCATTTCCTCTTTTATTTTCTTCTTTTTCATTAAACACGAATATAAGCACGACACGAGCACGAATAAGCACGCACGATTCAAACCGTGCCCGCGCCTGCGCCGGATATAACAAAATTAACAAATGGAATGACACAGTACGGCACGAAAAGCTGACCGACCGTGCCGAGCACGGCATAAAATAAATGGGACTGAAGCGTGCACGTGCAGTGCCGGTCCACGACCAAGCGCCCTTGTACAGTAACGGCTAACTGCAATGCAGTGTGGTTGCAGTTAGCATTTTGGCCCCTAAAACGGGTGCGAGTAACCACCCTAAATACCACCCCTAATTTAATTTGATACTATGTTGATTCTACTTATAATACTCTTGTTTATTTCGCAATTATTATCATAATAACCATTTGCATCTGCAAATCAAATTGGCCGAAACCAAAGCTGTAAATACGCCTATAAATATAAACAGACCTACTTACTGCAAAGCATCGACCTCCCCATTCACCCTAATCATTAACTAGCCAGCAGCCATGTCATCACAGCAGCAGCAGCCTCACATGGTTCTGATGCCGAGCTCCGGCGCCGGCCACGTCATCCCGTTCCTGAAAGTAGCCGGAGCCCTGGCGAGCCAAAACTGCCGAGTCACACTCATCACCTCCTACCCACTCGTTTCCCAGGCCGAGTCGGCTCTCATCACCCGCTTCCTCACTCTGTACCCTCAAGTCACCGAGAAGCAATTCCATCTGCTTCTGCTCCACCTCCCTCCAAACGATCATTCTGATGATTCCTCCAAAGACCCTTTCTTCCGACAATGGGAATTAATCCATCGCTCCCTTCCACGTCTGTCGGACATCCTCAAATCTCTGTCTCCGCCGGCCGATGCTCTGCTTTCCGACATAAGCCTGATGTCTTCCACCATTTCAGTGACTGAAAGCCTCAACATTCCGAACTACGTCCTTTTCGCTAGTTCGGCCAGGATGTTTGCTTTCTTCGCCTACTATCCTGCTCTTTCCGATGCTCTTTCCGGTTCGGCGGGCGAGGATGAATTGCTTGAAATCCCTGGATTGGAAGGATTGCCCAAATCCTCTGTTCCTCCTCTGCTTAAGGATACCACCTCGCCCTTTGCCACCATGCTCAGGTCATATCACGAACAATCACCACTCGTTGATATAAAAAAATCTGTTGTCTTTCAATAAATTCAAATATGTGACTTGATTAACAAATATATATCTAAAAAAAAACAAACATTCGGATATATAATGGTAAATGGTTAGTCGATTATCTGTTTTAATCGAAAACCGAATTGATAACTGTGATTAATGATTAAGCGATATCCGTTAACTTTTAGTGGTTCAATTTTGGTTAGCTCTATTTTACTTAGTGGTTAACCGATAAGAAACTCGGTAACAGTCTACTTGTATAACCACATAATTTTGATCTTCGGTTAAGGAAAAAAGTCTCAAAGTTCAACACCAAACAAAGTCGTACTTCCAGACATCTTAATTTTCACTTATTGCAAACAACCCTCCAATTATCACCCCTAAAAATTTCCGCTCAAATACTCATCATATTGGCCAACAGGGTTGTTTGGATGTTAGGATTTAAGGAGAGTTATTTAGCCAATACAGTAAGATTTAGTCTTTTTTTATTTGGAGATAGAATGCTTGAATTATTATTTTAAGGTCCACCTATAACCGCTCAAAGTGAGAGATTAACAATCTCTACCTAAAGCAGATACGGTTGATGAAGGATTATCTGCTAATTTTTTATTCCGTTTTTGTCCCTTATAACTTTACCTTATTCTAGTATTGTCCATGTCATTTGCATCTCTTTCCCGTTGTCGTTCCCCGCATAGCCCACCTCTGTCACCGTTCCTCACCATGCTGAGATTGCGGCGTGCGCTCAAGGTTTAGAAGGAAAAATCCTTCATTTTCCGAAGAGTAATTATGTGCTTCCCCCGCTCTCTCAAATTTTCTCTCTAATAGCCAGTCTGTGGGTCCTTCTTCCGCCTTTCCGTTGCGGCAATTAGGGCTGAAAATTTCCTTCACCCGTCTCTCACCCTATCCGATCCGTCCCTGAAGGGTCAAGATGTATAACTGACTCGTCTTGCCCTTGTGCCCTTCTTGACCATGTCTGGCCTGAAGGGTTGGGGCGGTTCGGGACGTGTCGGGTCAGCGGGTCGACCCTAAGGAGTACACTACTTTTTTATAAATTACGTTTTGGTACCTAAAATGATTTTTTCTTATAATTTAGGGCGTCCAACAAGACGACCCCTCTCCTCTGAATTCTTTGTGCTGATTATGTACATTATGTGCTTCATAAGGGGTTCGTCTTGTCTTCTTGTCGATTAGAGACGGATGTCTATCACCGTTCCGCACTTGTGTTCGAGATGGTTTCTCACTTATTGCTACTGTCTCTCTTGACAAGGGGCCTTCTTATAGCAAGTCACCCTTGTTTAATTGCAACAAGCGAAAGGAAAGGACAAACTTATCTTTCTTTACCCAAAGGAGTGTTGTTGTTTTTTCTTTGCAACTAGTACATTCAAATTAGACAAACATTGTTTTTGCCCAATACTTATATTCAAGCAATCCATATAATTAGAATACACAAATTTAATGAATGTATCAATTTAGACTATCACAATCTCAAAATGACCCCTAGTTACAAAAACATAACGCGCTACATACACAATTTAGAACCTTGGTTAAAGTCGTAATCGATTTTTTAGTAGTTAGGAAGAACAAATGTTTTATTCTTTTTCTGAAGGACAATGAAATTTCAAGCAGGGCCAACAACGATTGCATCAAGAAGTTCGATGGATTTCTGATAAACACTTGTGATGTACTGGAGGGAAAAACTGTACGGGCCCTTAAATCTGGAAAGATTGTTGATGGGATGCCTCCTATCTTCGACTTTCTGTACCCACCATGGGAACCAGAAAAGGTCAAAGGAAGTAGATCAACTGCGTGGGAGAGATGGTTAGACGAGCAGCTGCCAGCCTCTGTTGTATATGTGAGTTTTGGAAGTAGAGCACCCTTGTCCAGAGAACAAACCATAGAGGTTGCCAAGGCATTGATAAGTTGCAACTATCCATTCATGTGGGTAGCAAAATTCTCTGTTGTGGACAAGGATGATGGCCAGAGCATGCATCAAGTTCTTGGGGCAGATCTCACTCGTCAGGTAAAGAATCAGTTTAGGATGAAGAATATACACTATAATATTAATCATGTTTATATAACTTGAATCAGATTATCTATCGTGGGTCAAATGTCACAGTGTCTCTTTTTCACGTGGACTAACTATCACACATTGTGTTGATAAACCACACAATATATGTGTTCTTTACTTTCTTGCATTGTCAATTATCTCGATCCGTTCTCGACAAATCATTTTGTTATGATTGTGTTAATGATGAATGAGCAGGTGAAAGAGAAGGGTGTCGTTGTGCAGGATTGGGTTGATCAACAGCAGATCATTGGACACAAATCTGTGGGAGGATTCGTGACGCATTGTGGATGGAACTCGATCCTGGAAGCGTCCTCGAATGGGGTTCCGATGCTTGGTTGGCCTCAGGGCGGGGATCAGGGGATAATAGGGGTGGCAATAGCTGAATGTGGGGTGGGTATGTTGGGAGGGAAGTGGGGATGGAATGGGGAGTTTGTGGTGAAGGGAGAGGAGATTGGGATGCGCATTAGAGAGATGATGGAGAGCCAAAAGTTGAGGTCTCGAGCAGCCGAGGTCATGGAAGACATAGACAAGGCTGTTGCACGTGGTGGCGTATGCGATCGAACTCTGAAACAATTCATTAACAAGTTTATGTCTTAGATGTGGTTGTATCAATAAGTTTTATCCCGATGAGGAAAATGGTTTTAGGTTTTCAAAATAGATTGCGGATAAGATCGTGAATAAATTGTAATATGTAATATGCTTGAACAATAAGTTTAACATGTTTTGAGCAAGCAATAAGGTGTTGAATGGTGATTTCACGGATTTGCAATTGATACATTGTCTTATCAAGAAAACAAGCTCACTTATCTAGCGGGCAAAACTAGCTATCTAATTATGCGGCCAACAAAAAGGTTATGAGAAGCAAGTTGGATAGCAAATGTATTGCAAGTTCGAATAGATGACAAGATTGACAATGCAATTAATATTAATGCATGGTAAAGTGATTAGTTGTAGTGAAGAAAATATGAGAAAAGAGAGCTTCCATTGCATTGATTATATGGGATCATTGTATCAACATGTTTATTTCATATTGCTATATATATTTAGCTATGCTAGCTAAAGGTTGTTGGAGCATTCTTCAGGATAAAGAGCCTCTATGGGTTCAACTTGTGAGCGGCAAGTATGGGAAGGGGCGTGAGGATCTCGAGCTGCTTAAAGGAGTACAGGAAAGTTCCTTTACCTGGTATAGTCTTTCCAAGGCTTCTAACCTGGTTAAGTAGAGATGCTCCTGGAATATTCATAATGGGAAATATGCAAAGTTTTGGACTGATGTTTGGATTTTCAGGTTCCCCTCCAAGACATGGCCAGAAGACCGATTCCTGTAGATGACCAAAAAGTTAAGGTGGCTGACTTCATTGATGAAGAAGGGCGATGGAGGATCGAGAAATTTCAAGAACTGTTGCTGCTGGAAGTGCAACATCTAATTACAGCAGCCGTGGTAGACCCCCTTGCTACCGAGAAGGATATTCTGTTTTGGAAGCCCGCGTTAGACCGGAAGTTCTCTACTAAGACCGCCTACCACCTATTGCTACCTATCCCAACCAGCACAAATCAACAATGGTGGAAAGGACTATGGAAGCTCCTGGTTCCAGAGCGAATTTGTTGCTTCATTTAGCTTGTGGCTCATGGGAGGATCAACTGCAACGACCATAGAATAAAGAGACATGTGACTCAGAACCCGTGTTGTTACAGGTGTCCCTGGCAGCGCGAGACCATCTTTCACATCTTTAGTGAGTGCCCCCTAGCGGCCTTCCTCTAGGTGTGAAACGTGCGGTCTGATCTACATGCAAAGTTCTTCAGTCTCCCCCAAAGAGTTGTGGCTGCAGAAGAATCTGTCTTGTGAAGATATTTCCCCTTCAGGCGCCCCCGGAATGCTTTTTTCAGCATTGTACTCTGGAGCATTTGAAGAACAGGAAGCTTCGGCGGGATGATCCAGACTCTCTCTCCCCTGTCCCTCAATCAAGTGATCAAGATTAAGGCTGCTCTTTGGTACCAAGCGTGGATGACGCCAATTGCAATACCGGGTGGGCGCGTTGCTCCTACCACTCGTACTTTGGCCGCTTTTGGGTGGAAGTCCCCACCAACAAGGTGGGCTAAACTGAATGTTGATGGTGCAGCTGGTGGTAACCAAGGCCTTGCAGGAGTTGGTGGTGTGTTACAAGATGCTGACAAGAACTGGATGGGAGGTTTCATCTCTAGCCTGGGAGCTTGTTCAGCTACGATGGCTGAGTTGTGGGTGATCTATCACTAACTAAGATTCGCTTGGAACCAAGGTTGCAGATTGATCATTGTAGAATCAGACTCCCAAACGGCTATTCACCTGGTTATGAACAGGTCGGACCCTCTACATCCGTGTGCTACTCTTCTCGCAGTTATTAGACGTAGACTCACTCAGGATTGGGTGATGAATTTAGTTCATACTTACCGCGAGGGAAATAGAATCGCGGACTGGATCACGAAGCACAGTCTCGTCTATCTCTATGGTAGGTATGAATTAGAGACACCACCTGATGGGATACATTCACTTCTCCAAGATGATATCAGAGGCGCTACGATCGATCGAAACATAGTTCCTCCCGTTCCTACCGATTCGGCGTAACTCCTCCCTTCTCCCCTGTACGATTTCTTCTTCTTCGACCTTGTACCTCCCTTAATCCAAAAAAAAAGTGTATGAAGGACATAAAAGTATGTCAGAGAAGCATCAAACAAAGAAAAGAAAGAAAACTTTATGTTGTCTGTATGTTCTCATTGTTTTGAGTTAAGCGAACCAAATTAATAGGGTTTTGTTGAGTGTTTTCTTAATAGTGAAATCCAAAATATTTTCTTTGCAAGTGATTCAAAATTCCATTTCATTTCTACTAATACAAAACGTAAGCGATAAGATTCAGTTTCATTTCTGTAATACCCAACGTAAGGGATAAGATTCATTTGTCGGTTGTTATTGGGAGCTAATATTTGACGCCCTAGATTTTAAATTTATCGCCCTAAATCTACTAGAATTGACGATTTTACCCCAACTTAATTAAACTAAATTCTACCTCCGCCCTTTTCTTTTCGGTCTTCACCCCTTCCCAGAAACACAACCCGCCGGCGTTAATCCGAAGACTCCCAGACGGCGAAGACTGCAATGGCAACCGGTTCCTTCTTCCTCCTACCATCGCTGACCAACAGTTTTTTTTTTGAAACAAAATGATTTTTCTCTCTTCTGCTTCTTGATCGGCGCAGCGAAAGGAATGGCGGAGGCGACCGCCGAAGAGCAAAATTGGTACCCGGCCTCGACTCCGGCCCAAAATCGGCAGTTCCGGCACCGGGTCTCTCCTACTTTGCTGTCGCACTGATACCAGAAACAGATCGTCGACAAAGGGGAAAGAAAATCGCGGTCGGGTTGAGAGGGAAATCGCCATCAGGTGGAGGTTGGAATGGAAACTGGCGATTCGGGCCACATAGCAAAATTGGGATTGGGGCGATGGCGGCGTCGACGAATCCCTAGGTCGAGGGCGCAGTGGAAGGAAGTTGCCACGACGGCAGTAACAGTAGCACTCGGCGACGGCGAAAACTGCGATAGCGACCAGCGTTAATTTTTTTTTAATGACCAGCGTTAATCCTAGGGCGACTATTTGTGGACAAAAATGTCAAATTACCAATTAGGGCGACTAATTTTAAAAAACCTAGGGCGTTAAATAGGAATCCAGTTGTTATTAGGGCGACTAATTTCCCGCCAGGATAGTTCTCCCTCTTCTCATTCCCCTATGTAACATTCTTGTTCTTGGCTTCTGCCTCCTGCTATGCAAAAAAAAAAAAAAATACCGAATATACCTACATCATATGTTGTTTCGTTAATTTTGATATCCACTACATTGAAATAAGAAAAATAACTAACATAATAATGAAATTCTCATCGCGCTCTTAATAATGAGTTCTTCTAAAACAAACGTTGTGTTATTGACACGCCAAAACACAACACCAAACTGCGACCAAGTGTAATCGCCGTCCGGGAATGCAGTAACAGGAAAGATCTATTATCAACCCGGGGTCTAGATCTACTGCTTACTCCGTGATTATCTATTATCTAGCCAACTAAGTCGAGTGATTGTTTTTTAACGCAAAAGCAGTAAGAAAGCAGGAAATTATTCGGTTTTCTCAAGCAGGAAAGAGTCACTCGGGAATGAGTCCCCCTAGCTCCTTAGTTAGGTTCAATTGTAATTACCCTGGGTTGATTTACTGTTGATTAGACTGCGGAAGATCCGACAGTAGCTTGGAATCTCTTAAGCTGACCAAGCCCTCTCAGTCTAACTACCCGGCAGACGACTAGTCTTCACCGGGATAGAAAGCTGAAGCAATAAGCACAGAACTCCACTACTGCTATCGAATGAAGAGGCTCTAACAACCTAATCAGATTCTATCTATCTCAGGTTGCAGCATAAATCAAGAAAAGCTTATCAGACTTTAATCAATTCAATAAACATGCATCATTCGATTAAAACCAAACAGTATAATCATCCCAAGTCATTACAATCAAATCCCTAACACAAGGAACTAGGGTTCTTCATACCCAAGTGAGAGAAGGGTTCTACTCCATAGAGAGAGAGAAGAAAACAGTAATCAGAGTAGTCATACTCATAAAGATGAGGAAAATCGGCTCTGGGGTGATGATTTCCACTCCTATGACAATCTCCAAGCTCGATTTGACGAAACCCAGCTCCAAGATAGCTTCTAGGATGTGTTCTTCGCACTTTCTCTCTCTAGGGCTCTGTTTTTTGCTCTGAAAATCCGATCCTCCAAGATTTCCCGACTCACACGGGCAGGCCACACGGCCGTGTGGCTCACCCAGTTGCCCGTGTGAGTCGAAACGCCGCGTATCAATAAGTTGCACTTCAGCCATCCCACACGGCCAGGGTCGCACGGCCGTGTGGATTTCCTGCTCTGCCCGTGTTTGCTCTCGGTGAAAATCACACGGCCACAATTGTCAGTTGCACGGCCGTGTGATGTCCCGGACTGCCTGTGCGGCTTCCTTAGCACTTCGCCACGCGTCCGATCTTCGTCCAATCGACCCCAAACTCGCTCCCAGGCCTCCATTCACGTACTAGGACCTGAAATATCACAAACAAGCACAACCTAGCGTGAAATCGGCCTAAAACACGAGAAATCACATCTCAAACGGTGTAAGAACAGGGGTAAAAACATGTGTAATTAACGGTCTATTAGTTATTTTCGTCCTCGTCCTTGGTCCCGCTCTCGCTACACGTACTGGTTACCTAAACCAACCACTATTAGAGAAACTCTTACTTAGGCTCGGCCTACCACAGTGGATACAATATGTGGGTAGCCTATGAGATAGATCAAAGATCAATTTATGGCCTTCGTGTGTAGAAAGATAAGAGAATTATTCAAAGGGTCATCCTAGTCTTTTGGACTATAAGAACTTACAAATTGATGGGAGGGATGTGGATATTCATTTCTAAGAGGGGAATGTAAGTGATATTCTATCTCCCTATAAAAGGAATAGTAGTGTGTCTCACATAAATTATTAGCTGACATATGAAACTTGTTAAATGCCTTGACTATAAAAGGTTCAACCTTGAATTCTATCTAGAGTGGAAGAGATGAAGCCAAACTTCAAGCTAGTTCGAAAATATTTAATGATTTCTTCTTTTGTGTTTGGAAGTCGAATTGTTCCTATTGGGTCAATAAGTTGTTAGCTACTCACACATACATGTCTGAGATTGTTATTTATATATTTTATTGTAGTCGATAGTTAGTTTTGTTTTGGATGAAATTAGCAAACGTCTTTAATCATTAC